GCCTCCTTGCCGCCCCTGGGCCGCAGCAGCAGCACCCCGTTCATGTCCAGGATCACCAACACAGGGACTTGAAGCACACCTCTCCCCCTCATTGGAAAATGTGAAGGGGGAGCGGGAGCGGGAGCGACCGGGACCGGGGAGGAAGGCGGGCAGGTGGAAAATGGAGGGGGAGGGGAGGGGCAGGGGAGACGGGAAGGGAAGCGGAGGGGAGGGCAAGGGAGGAGCTGAAGGAGGAGGAGGAGGAGGAGGAAGGACGGGGAGGGGGAGATGACGGAAGCGGTGGAAGCAGCAGCGGCAGCAGCGGCGAGAGTTCATGGGAGCAGGAGCGGAACCTGGAGCGGGGTGGCAGCGGCGGCGGTGGCGCTGGTCGCCTCGCAGCAGCCCCCCCCCCGCAAGGAGGACCCCAGGTCCCCAGGTTTCCCGCAGAGATCTCTGGAGGTCTCCAAGACGGCCCTGGACACTGGCGGCCTCCGCGGAGGCCTCGCCTCTCGCCCAGCATCTCCAAGATTGCCTCCCGTCTCGGGGTTTCTTCTCAGGCCCCACGACCCCCGACGTCGTCGTGATTTTTCGCAGCGTGGACCCCTGGGGTCTCGAGCCCTTCCCCAAGACCGCCTTCTCAACTCGAGCAAGTTTCTGAGAACGCCAGGCGAAGGGCCCCAGGAGCCCGAAACTACGAAAACATCTTGGCCACTCTCTCTCCTCTTCACGACGAACTCACATGACTCTTCCCCGGGGATCTACTGGCACGGGTCAATCAAAACCCGTGTCAATCGGAGCTTGCAGGATCCTGCAATATCACGCAGGATCCTGCAGCCAAACCCGGGTCAGTGCGCCCCTGGCTCTGCAGGATCTTGCAAACCCAGGCGCTCTGACTGACCTCCGTTTGCAGCGACCCCCGTCTCTTGAGCCCCGATCTTGGCCACTCTCCTCCTCGTGCCGAGATTACATGGCCCCTCCCCTCCCCTCGGCACCGCCGGCCGAGCCGCGCACCCTCTTCGCGGGCTGGCCCACCATCGGCGCCGCTCGCACCCGTGGGAAAGGGGGGGCGGGGGCGACCGCAGGCGACGGTTGGGCCCGGCCCCTGTGCGAGCAGATAGGGCCTAGCCCCCTGCTGCTGCTCGCCCTTCCACTCCTCCTCCATCTCCTCCTCCTCCTCCTCCTCCTCCTCCTCCTCCTCCTCCTCCTCCTCGTCCTCCTCTTCCTCGTCATCCTTCTCATCCTCGTATCCGTCGTCATCAACATGCTCGCCATCATAATCACCATCATCACCACCACCACCATCGCCATCATCGATATCATCATCATCATCATCATCATCATCATCATCATCATCATCATCATCATCATCAGCATCATCATCATCATCATCATCATCATCATCATCATCATCATCATCATCATCATCATCATCATCATCATCATCATCATCATCATCATCATCATCATCATCATCATCATCAGCATCATCATCATCATCAGCATCATCATCATCATCATCAGCAGCATCATCATCATCATCATCATCATCATCATCATCAGCAGCATCATCATCATCATCATCATCATCATCATCATCATCATCATCATCATCATCATCATCATCATCATCATCATCATCATCATCATCATCATCATCATCATCATCATCATCATCATCATCATCATCATCATCATCATCATCATCATCATCATCATCATCATCATCATCATCATGTAGCAGCACCACCATCACCATCACCATCACCATCACCATCACCATCACCATCACCATCGCAACCTTTGAGAAAAAGGCAGCCACTCTTGGCCCAGACCCCCCTCCTCCTCCTCCTCCTCCTCCTCCTCCTCCTCCTCCTCCTCCTTCTCCTCCTCCCCCTCCGACGCAAGACTCGCGATCCTCTTCGCGCCCCCCCCGGGTGACGCAGGGGGTCCCCGGGCCCCCAGCCAAACCTCGGCTGCACGCAGGGAGTGCCTCACAGGCAAGAGTGACATTTTTGTTGTGCGGTGAAGCGGAGGAGGAGGAGGAGGAGGAGGAGGAGGGGGAGGAGGAGGAGGAGGAGGAGGAGGAGGAGGAGGAGCAGGAGCAGGAGGAGGAGGAGGAGGAGGAGAGGAGGAGCAGGGGGGGGGTGGGAGGAGGAGGAGGAGGAGGGAGGAGGAGGAGGAGGAGGAGGAGGAGGAGGAGGAGGAGAGGGAGGGGAGGAGGAGGGAGGAGAAGGAGGAGGAGGAGAAAGGAGGAGGAGGAGGAGGGAGGAGGAGGGGGGGAGGAGAAGGAGAGGAAGAGGAGGAGGAGGGGGCCGCGGGGAGACAACATCCGAGCGCACCAGCAACTGCTGAGGGGACCCGTGGGCCTGCCCCACAGGTCAATCTGGCGAAGGGTCAATCATAAAGGAACCCACAAAAAAGAAACCCATAAACTGTCAGAGCTCCTCGCGGTTTTTTTGGTTCGGCGCTGACCCCCCTCCCTGGCGCGCGGAACTCCGAGAAGTCATGTTCATGCCGTTCTCTGTGGTTCCCCATATCCTAAGCGAGGTCACTGTCTTCTCTAGACAGCCTACGAAATTCCGTCCTCACCCCCCTCTCCTCCTCCTATCCAAACACCCTCATATCAAGAATGGGAATAATGATAATAATAAGAAGAAGAAGAAGAAGAAAAAGATGAAGAATAATGATACAACTAATAACAATGGTAATGTCTAACAAGTATAATAATCAGCATCATCACCATCATCACCCGCATCAGCACCATCATCAGCAACAACATCAACAGCATCATCACCATGATCATGAACATCATCATAATCAACAGCATCAGCGACATCAGCATTATCTTATCATAATCACCATCATCATCCTAAAATCATCATGTTCAACATCATCATCAACAACATCATCAACAGCATCATACATAGATCGATTATTACCGTCATCATCATAACCACCATCATCATCGTCATCATCAGCATCACAATCACAATCACGACAATCAGCATCATCAGCAGCATCATCATTATCACATCCACCCTCATCCTGATCCTCATCATCATCACCACCACCGTCGCCACCACCACCACCCACAACCACCACCACCACCATCATCATCACCATCACCCTCACCATCAGCATCAGCATCATCATCATCATCAGCATCATCATCATCAGCAGCAGCAGCAGCAGCATCAGCATCATAATCAGCTGCGGATCAGCAGCGTCAGCAGCATCAGCAGCAGCACCACCATCATCATCCTCAGAATCCTCATCATCAGCATTCGTATCAGCATCATCAGCAGTCTCATCGCCAGCATCAGCACCACCACCATCATCACCATCACAATCGTCAGCATCATCATCACCAGAAGCAGCAGCATCAGCATCAGCATCGTCATCGTCATCATTAGCATCATCATCAGCATCAGCAACAGCATCAGCATCATCATCAATATCATCATCAGTCGCATCATCAGCATCAACGTCATAATCAACATCAGGATCAGCATCAGAATTATCATCATCACCACCATCAGCATCAACACCCTCATCATCATCATCATCATCATCATCATCAGAATCATCATCATCATCATCATCATCAGCAGCATCAGCATCATCATCATCATCATCATCATCATCGTCATCATCAGCATCATCAGAATCGGCATGATCCCCATCATCATCATCATCATCATCATCGGCAGCAGCAGCAGCAGCATCAGCATCAGGATCAGCATCAGCATCATGATCACCACCATCATCATCATCATCATCATCATCATCGTCATCAGATCGGCAGCAGCAGCAGCAGCATCAGCATCAGGATCAGCATCAGCATCATGATCACCACCATCATCATCATCATCATCATCATCATCATCGTCATCAGAAGCATCAGCATCATCATCATCATCATTATCAGCAGCATCAGCATCATCATCGTCAGCATCAGCATCAGCATCATCGTCATCAGCATCAGCATCATAATCAGCATCTGCATCAGTATCATCATCAGCATCATCAGCATCATCGTCACCATGATGATCATCTGCATGATCATCAACATCAGCATCATCATCATCAGCATCACCATCATCATCATCATCAGCATCATCATCATTATCATCATCATTACCATCTCACACACAGTATCGCACAGTAATATTGCGGAGGGTATCGCCAGGGAATCCCGAACTGGAGACCCTCACTATGGCGCCGCCCCCACCTCCGTGTTCGATCCTGGGCGGGTCATCCAGATCCTGTAACTCACGTCACTTTGGGGGGGGGTACGGGCTTCACATATGTGTTTTGTCCATGTCCCCCCACCCCCCCACACTGGAAACGGCGGGCAAATCGGGGCCTTCGGGTTGGGTTGGGGTGGTTTGGTGGGCGGTGACAGAAGAGACAGGAGGGACGAGGATGAAGGGGCCCTGGGACACACACAAATAAATACACACAAATAACAGGATTCCCCCATATTTTCCCATATTTTCTTGGTTTTTGTCTTCCCCCCCACTTCCCATATTTTCCCATATTTTCTGGGGAATCGACGATTAATTGTGTCTGTGTGTTTTCTTCCCTCCTGAGAGGACGGGGCAGAGCAGGGGGCGGGAGGAGGGCCTCCACCAGGGCGACAAGGAGAAGGGCGACGAGGAGACGGGACGAGAGCCTCCGCAGCCACAGGGACGACGAGGAAGACCCCTTCCAGATGAGTCCGGGAGACTCTGCTGCGGGGTCCTGCCGTCGGGGCAGCTCGAACTTCAACGCGTGGCCAAACGCCGCCCGGGGTCTCTCCAAAGCCCCCCCCCCCCGTTTGGGCAGAGGTTGCGGCCCCGCTTGGCAGGGGCGTCGGCGACGCCAGGCGGCGCCCCTCACCCGCCCGCGGGCGCGGAGCGCCGGGGCCCGGGCATCGGCAAGGCGCGGGGCGCTGGCCGACTGGAGACTCGGACCTCTGGCGGCTCGAGACATCTCGAGGGGGGCAGGCCTGCGCTGGAACGGATCGCGAAATCGGCTCGGATCGGAGACGTGTCGGGTCGGCAGCGAACCGTCCCGACTCGAATCGAAATCGGACCGCCGCGCCTGGCATCGGCTGGCCCTGGCCGATGCCAATGAACCGAAGCAAGTCGAGACGAGTCGGAATCGCGGCCCCAGCTGGCGAATCGAATCGCATCGAATCGAATCGGAGGCGGCCACGGCGGGGTCTCTTCACACCTTATCCCCTTCTTTTTGTTCGCCCCCTGGCCCGCGTCGCCACGGGTCAGATTCCCCTCCAATTCTGGTCGAAGTGCCCCCTTGGGGAGGCCACGGGAATCGGCGTCTCGACTGCTTGGGGAGGCCACGGAAATCGGCGTCTCGACTGCAAAAGCACTCCAAGCCTCCAGCGCCCTGGCAAGAAACAGGGCGGATGCGTGTTTCGCTATCGCTGGCGTGCAAGAGACAAGCTCGAGCTCCAGGACCGTTCGGGCGACGACCTGCGGCAGAAACGGAGGCCCCACAACAGGGGTCCAGAGGCCCATGTCTCGGACAGTCAAGCCGCCAGAGGTCCGAGAAAGAATCCGCGGTTCAGCCAAGGAGGGGCTCCTCCTTCCTCCACCTCCGCCTCCTCCTCCTCCTCCTCCTCCTCCTCCTCGTCCTCCTCCTCCTCCTCCTCCTCCTCCTCCTCCTCCTCCTCCTCCTCCTCGTCCCTCCACCTCCTCCTCCTCCTCCTCCTCCTCCTCCTCCTCATCCTCGTCCACCTCTCGATCCCACTCCTGCGGCCGCGGCCCTGGCACCTGAATCGCTCTAGATCAAGAGGAAGTGGTGGAGGGAGGAGGCACAAGGGATATCGGGAGAAGGACCAAGAGGAGGAAGGAGGGAGCAGGGAGGAAGGAGGAGGGAGAAGGAGGGAGGAGTCATTCCAGAGAAATTCCTCGATCGGCGTGGTTGGGAAGTGTCCGCGGGGCCTGCTTCAGGCAAGGTAGGCAGCTGTAGCCCCCTCGTTGGCCAAGCACGCAGACCTGTTTCGAACTCACTCCTCAGGACGGGCCTTTCAAAACCGAGCTGTTTTTTATTACGGCCCCGAGGACCGGCAAGGGCCCCAGAGGTCGAAAATACAACCAAAAATCATCGATACATACATACATGTATATATAAATGTATACATACATGCATACATTACATACATTACACACATTACATACATTACATACATTACATACATTGCATACATTACATATAGTACGTACATACATACATACATACATGCATGCATGCATGCATGCATGCATGCATGTATGCATACATACATACATACATACATACATACATACATACATACATACATACATATGTACGTATATACATACATACATACATACATACATACATACATACATACATGCATACATACATACATACATACATGCATGCATACATACATACATACATACATACATACATACATACATGCATATATACATGCATACATACATACATATATGCATGCATGCATACATACATACATGTATACATACATACATACATACATACATACATACATACATGCATGCATGCATGCATGCATGCATACATACATACATACATACATACATACGTACATACATACATACATACATACATACATACATACATACACACATACATACATACCTATATACATATGTATATATATGACCCGATGATTGAACAGGGACCGACCGTCCTGGCATTCCTGTAGGCCTACCACGAAATTTCAGGGAGCCCAAACATGTTCTAAGGACAAGAGCAATGTTCCCAGAGCATAATCCCGATGTGCTAGAACGAGACAGCCTCAGCCAGAGACCACACAAGGTTCTGAGAAGATCCTTTGGTAGGCCTATAGGCAAGCCAAGACGCTTCGCCGCTGCTCTAGAGGGGGTCCGGGAAGCAGGACCCCTCCAGGCTGCCCCGCGAAAGACGTCTGGCCCGCCGTGGGGGGGCGCTGGGCGCAGAGCCCAAGCCAGGCTGGCCATCGCGGCGCGCGAGGCCAGAGGTCGGGGAGCAGGCCAGGCGGGTCAGCTCCAACGGGGATCAGCCCCAAAGGGGATCAGCCCCAAAAGGGAGCCCTCCCTCCTCTTCCCTCCTCCCTCATCCCTCCTCTCTCTCTTCCTCTTCCTCGCTCCTCGTTCCTAGCTCCTCGCTCCTCGCTACTCGCTCCTCGCTCCTCGCTCCTCGCTCCTCTTCTTCCTCCTCCTCCTCCTCCTCCTCCTCCTCCTCCGCCGCCTCCTCCTCCTCCTCCCTCCTCCTCCCCATCCTCCTCGCGCCTCCTCCTCCTCGTTCCTCTTCCTCCTCGCCCCTCCTCCTCGCTCCTCCTCCCTCCTCCTCGTTCCTCCTCCTCCTCCTTCATCCCTCCTCCACGCTCCTCCTCCTCCTCTTCCTCCTCCTCCTCCTCCTCCTCGTTCCTCTTCGTCCTCGTCCTCATCCTCGTTCCTCGCCCGTCCTCCTCCTCCTCCTCCTCCTCCTCCTCTTGCTCCTCCTCCTCCTCTTGCTCCTCCACCTTCTTCAGTGCGGTAGTATCTTCTTACTTGTAGCATTGACAGATTACTACGTGGATTCGCATTACTCTTAGTACCCTTCGCCTTAGTGATACGGTGATTGGTATTATTAGTAAGAATATTAGAACTCGTTGTTTTATTATTAGTAGTAGTATTAGTATTATTAACAGTAGCAGCAGTAGTAGTAGTAGTAGTAGTAGTAGTCGTCGTCGTCGTCGTCGACGTCGTCGTCGTCGTCGTCGTCGTAGTCGTAATAGTAGTAGTAGTAGTAGTAGTAGTAGTAGTAGTAGTAGCAGTAGTAGTAGTAGTAGTAATAGTAGTAGTAGTAGTAGTCGTAGTAGTAGGAGTAGTAGTAGTAGCAGCAGTCATAGTAGTAGTAGTGGTAGTAGTAGTAGTAGTAGTAATGTTAATAGCAACAGTAATCGTAGCCGTAGTAGTCGTCGTCGTAGTCGTAGTCGTAGTCGTAGTAGTAGTAGTAGTAGTAGTAGTCGTCGTCGTCGTCGTCGTCGTCGTCGTCGTCGTCGTCGTCGTAGTCGCCGTCGTCGTAGCATCAGCATTCTTAGTATTACCAGTATTACTAGGTGCTAGTGTTACTCACGTTGTTTGTAATATTGTTATCATTATGCGAATCATGAGCAGCATTATTATTAGTATGGGTAATACTATTACTAGTATCATTAGTACGCTTCGTCTTCGTATTGCTGATGTTCGTAATCTTACTAAGATTAATGATACCACTATTGTTCTTATTACGCTTCCTCTCAATAGTAGTAGTGTTGTGATTTGAATGATTCATGTTACGATTACTGGCACACTCTTGTTAATCGCATTAATAGTGGCACTAATATCATGTATGTGCCCTTCTTAAGTATACAAATAACACTAGTGCGATTCGCAATAGTAACTATGCTAGTGTTATTAGTAGTATTAGCATGATTACTAGAGCGATGATTATCCTATTCATCCTCCTCATCCTGCAGTAGAAAAAGTAATATTGATAATAACACGAATGATAGCAATAGTAATAATATGAGCGTTCTTCTACTTATTCGAAATAACAGCATTCTCATTATTAGTACGATTCCCCGTATTAGTAGTGTTCGTCGTCGTAGTATCCCCGTTGTCCTCTTCGTTCGTATTTTTATGAGCCGCATTATCACTATCAGTCGTGATAGCAGTGCTATTATTATTGGCAATAATGTCTGATTCGTATTGTGATTACCATGTTTAGCATTACGGTGCTTAATATTTCGATCAGAAATTGTCGTACTACTCGTAATACGACTATTTCTTCATAGTGGCATCAAGATGAATATGTTTCTCTTTATGATGATTATAACTACTTATCTTCTTATAGTAAAGGCGCGTTCTGTGGTCGCTTGGGGGCGGGGGGGGGGAGAACTGGACCCCCCCCCTCCCCTACTCCTCTCTCCCTCTCCTCGGGCCGGCGCCGGCGTCGGCGGCGGCTGGCGGCGGCGGCGGAGGTGCTGGTGGTGGTGGTGGCGGCGGTGGTGGTTATAGTGGTAATGTGGTTTATGGTGGTTGCGGTGGTGGTGGGTTGTGCTGCTGGTAGTAGTGGTGGCGGTTGTGGCGGTGGTGGTGGTGTGGTAGATTGTGGTGATGGTGGTGGTGGTGGTGGGGTGTTGTATTGGTGGTGGTGGTGGTGAGCTGTTGTGGTGGTGGTGGCTGTGGTGGTGGTGTTTGTGTGGTGGTTTGGTGGTGGTGGTGGGTTGAGGTGGTGATGGTGGTGGTCGTGGTGGTGGCACTGGTGGTCGTGGCGTGGTGGTTTGTCGTGGTGGTGGTGGTGGGCTGTGGTGTTGTTGGTGGTGATGGTGCTGTTGGAAGTGGTGCTGGTGGTGGTGGTGGGTGGTGGGTGGTGGGTGGTGGGTGGTGGTGGGGTGGTGGTTGTTGTGGTGGTTTGTGGTGGTGGTGTTGGTGGTGAATTGTGGTGATGGTGGTGTATGTGGCGGTGGTGGCGATGGTGCTGGTGATGGTGTGCTGGTTTGTGGTGGTGGAGGTTGTGGTGGGTTGTGGTGGGTTGTGGTAGTGCTGTGGTGGTGACGCTCTTGGTGGTGGTGCGGTGGTTTGTGGTGATGGTGGTTGTGGTGATGGTGGGTTGTGGTGGTTGTGGTGGTAGTTGTGGTGGTGGCGGCGGTGGTGGTGGTATGGTGGTATGCGGCGGCGGTGGTGGTGGTGTGGCCTTCGGCTTTTCCCGCCACTGTGTTTTGGCAAAGGGTCAAGGTTCGAATGGATGCCTCTTGAGGTCTCGTCAGAAGGGTTTCGGGGGCGTCTGAGGAGCATGCGAGGGCTCGATATGGCGATTTGTGTGTGTTCCCTCTGCGGCCTCTGGGCCCTCTCTGGTCATCGTCGCTGCGTCCCCGCCGTCGGCGCTGCTGGCCGCCACCAGCGCCAGCGCCGGCGCGGGGGAGGGGGGGGGAGGGGTTTGAACCCACCCCCCTCCCCCCCCTCCTGGGCCCTCCCTGGTCATCGTCGGTGCGTTGGCGCTGCGGCGGCCGCCAGCACCGGCGCTGGGGGGGGTCCAACCCCCCCCCCCCCGGAAGGGGCGGGTTCGGGAGGGGAGGGGCAGGGGGGAGGGGAGTCCCCCTGGTTCTGATCGACGGCGCCGAGTGTTGTGGGGGGGGGCCCACTCCCCGGTTCGAAACGTGCAGCCGAATGTTCCCAAGGCAAGCGGCCGTGAAGCGCGCTCTCTCTATTCTAAATATGTTTCTTGTGATTCGTACTAGTTTGATTCGTCTTCTTACTGTTCTGAATATTCGTCCTAGTATTATGACTAGTTGTGTTATTCGTGTTATAAATCGTGATTGCCACTGTAGTCGGTAATGGTACGATTCGTCTTTATTGAATTATTATCCATATTAGTATTGACATGTGTCTTCGTAGTAATATTGCCTTTGTTCCTGACTTATTGAAAGTATCCTTCTTCGTACTTGTAACATTCGTAGTCGTTTTCTGATGTGTTCTTCATTCTCAGTACTATTGAAAATATTATTCTTATTAGTGGTCGCAATATAATTATAACTATTCCCCCTCATCTTCCTCCATCTCCTCTTCCTCCTCCGCTTCTACAATTACACAATATGAATAATACCTCTCCTCTTTCCCCCGAATGAAGCCTGGAAGATGTTCGGCTCCTCTCCGCGTACTGTTTTCTAACACACAGGTTTCCCGGGAAATGGGTTTTCGCTTGGGTTTGTTTTTCAAAAGTGGCTCCCGCTGAAACGCTGGCCCCAATTCTGCGCCTCTGGATGTTCCGAATCGTGCTCCCGCTGCAGCGCGGGCGCTTTCGGTCCTTCTCCAAATAGGCCCCAAAATGTAAAAAATTGCCCCCCGAAAAAGACATCGGAAATGATTCGATTCGTTGATTTCTGGGGCCGCAGGAGCCGCCCCCCCACTTGGGGGCGTCGTCGCTTCCAGGAAGTATAAAGCGGGAGCCCAATTCTGCTTAGAGAAGTGGATGTCGAAAGCAGAAAAAGCGGGTGCTCTCCATCAGCCCTGCCTAGTGTGGAGCTTTTCCGGGAGCCCACGGAGCTAGACATGGAGCCACGACTCCAGACCGGCCCAGACCTCTCGAAGACGATCCACTTACCCTCCAAGGAATCCAGCGCCAAGCCATGACATGCTGTGCGGTGTTGTGTTCTGCGCCGCTGTGCGATGCCATGCTTTGCGTTGCAATGCTTTGTGTTGCAATGCTTCGCTGCGCAATGCCACGCCATGCTATGGCATGCTAGGCTCTGCCGTGCTCTTCTACGCCATGCGCCATGCCATGCCGTGCTCTACCATGCATCCGCGATCATTGCCCTGCTCGACATCCGACTGTGCGAATAGACAGGATATATACGCCATGGTAAGAGATGGGAGGGAGGGGTGGGACGTCAGGTATGACGCGAGCGCACCTAGCTTGCCCTCCTCCCCCTCCCCCACTCTCCTTCCCCCTCCTCCTTCTGCCACGCGACCGAGCACCAGGGCCGAGTGCAGGCGCGGCCGGCGAACGCGGCCGGCGCCGAGGAGAGCGACCGGCATCCCGCACTCCCGCGAGGCGCAGGGCAGGGCGGACGACCACGGCGGCGGCGAGAGCGAGCGAGAGAGCGAGCGGGCGAGCCACCAGTGCGGAGTTTCCTCCGGGCCGATCTTGGGCTCAGCGGACGTGGCCGTGGCCTTTCTCTGTACAGGGCAGTTTTTAATACATGGGATGTTTACAAACATAGGATGCTTAATACATGATTAATGTATGAATAAATTCAAACATAAACTCATCCTTGTATTTATTAATCAACCCTTTATTTTTAATACATGGTCCGCACGCAGAGCATGTATTAAAAACGGCACTGTATTGTCGTCTGTGGAGGCCGCGGCAGCGAGGGAGTGGGCAGGAAAAGCAGCGAGCGCGAGACGGAGGCAACGGCCTGGGGTACAGTGCGACCGGATGATCATGGAGAGCAGAAGCAGACCCT